TATCGAGCGGCGATGAAAAGTTGCCAGATCATAGATGAACCTTGCCTCTTAAGATTCCATGCTTTGCTTCATAGATGGCATTTTTGTCTTGGCCATGATAAAATCAGTCTCATTACTTAATTGTCGGACCTTGTATATATTGTAAATAACTGCTGAGGAACATGTTATTGGAGTGCTATTGAGAGGTAGAATGACAAGCTTCCTTTTTTGGCACCCTTTTCACAAAAACCTTTTCAATCCAAACAAATCTTTACTACTCCTTTGAGGCTGGGTCAATCCAGGAGCCACGTGATGACTGATTCCTGACTCTTGAAGGGGTTGTAGCAGCTGTTTTGTATACTCGCCGGGTAGTTCTCCGCCTGTGTTCATGGACCTCTGAACCATGTATTATAGTGAGGTTTAGGTTCCCAATGACAACTTTTCTGGGAATGGCATGGCTCCCCATTGATGGGCAACAGCTTGGCCTCCAATGATGTGCATGATCTGCCAGAGGCAACGCATGCTGGCCAAATGTCTAGGGGTTTTGTTTATAAATTTCTGTCCTCACCCCTACACACTGGATTCTCTCTGCAAAGCAATCACGCCACCCACCCACTCCTCTTGGCACAGCTCATGCTGATAGTGATTATAACTGGAGTAAAGGACAGCCAGGCCTGGAATTTTTTTCACCAAGAGGTACATCTATCTTGAGTCCCAAAGGTGGCGGGCTCGTTTAGAGAATGAACCCCCAGGGGATTGTCACTGCACATCACATAAGTGTATCTACGAAGTCTGGTGTGAGTTGCCCGTAGCAGGCACCTGGGACCTAGTTCGCTGGGGTGTTTTGTCCAGGTCTAGAGGGACTGCCGATGTGAGTATTAGAAAGGCAGTAGAAGACTTGACAGTGTGCCACCGATCACCATTTTCATCCTTGTCATAATGTTTCATCCGTAATAAAGAGACTGAGGCACTATGAAGGATTAAACTAGGGGTAGTGTATTGTGTTACAGTACTCATCGACATTCTCAGTGGTTAAAGAACATGCTAGCTTGTTGCGTGTACCTTGATTATAGTGGTGCTCTTGTTTTTATTATAAAATCCCTTAGACACTTGGCTCCTGTGCGATGCCTCTGATAGATCGCAGGTATCATCCATTAACCTCCAGTTTAAGAACCATTGTGAAGGAAGTGCATTCAAACAAATGTACATTTAAATTAATAGGAATGAACACAAGTTACTACAATTTACTACAACCAACAGACAAGATCAATTTCAAGTAAATGTTGAAACAAAAAGAGATAAAAAAATCGTCACAACCAAGGTAAATTAACAGCATCAGGTTACAACTGTAACATGAGAAATATAAAAAAAGACTTTTTTCCACGCCTTCAAGCGTATTAGGCACATAGGGTTAGATCTATTTTTTATACACCAATCAGCACTTGGTAGGTGTTGGGGTCAGTATTAGGCCGGCTACCTTTACTTCCCAGGATTTTACCTGGTACCCATTTAAGGTTGGGTCGACCTGAAAGCCAGGGTCATTTTGAAACAAAACCTTCCGATCCGCAAGCCAGTATCTAGCTGCTACACCATGGTGGCTCCAATGAGACATGTAACATTATCAGTAAACACTGCATTGTACAATGCCACATGGTAACAGTTGGCGTCTGTGGCTTAGATGTTAGGAACACGCTTCGTAATGCCCAGGTGCCGCGTGGAATCCCAGCAGACTGTCTTGCATTGGTTTCGACAGAGGTACCGAGAGCTGACCGTTCAGATCTCTCCCCAGTTCTTGTGGAGGGAACCAAGCATAATTGAGGATCGTTTCATTTCCTTTAGCGAGGAGTGGGAGGAGGCAGAGATGATCTGAGATGTTTCTCTCTCTCTCTCTCTCTCTCTCTCTCTATATATATATTATATATATATATATATATATATATATATATATATATATATATATATATAATATATAAAATGTTATTGCAGGCATAGCTTTTGTAATGCTACTACTATATTAATTAATAAGTAATTAAATAACAATTTAGAAGCATATTATGGCAGTCATTACAACTGTAGTAAAACTTACTGAACAAGATAATCCTCCTATAAATATTACAGCAATTATTTATTCACTTTATAAATATAACTCCAGTCTTGAGTATTTATGTTACTATATTCATTAATAAGTAACTCAATAACTATTTTTGAAAAATATTATTGCTGTCATTACAATTGTTAAAAAAAAAGATACTACAGTAAATAATCCTTCTATAATTATTAACAGAGATAATTTATTCACTTTATAAATATAACTCCAGTCTTGAATATTTTCAATCTAATTAAAACTTTTCAGTCCCAGTAGCTGCTCACTGGGAGAAATAGTGAAAACAACAATACCATGGATGTATTACAAGTGCCCTGCCAACTGCAGTTTATGACCATGTTTCTCCACATCTCGTGACCTCCAGAATATGTATGATTTTCACAATGGCCAAATATACACACCTTACAGAAACAGAATAATGAGCAGATTGATTGACTGGCTGCTTCCACTCCTCTGGGTGGTGAACTACTTTACAATAAAGGGGGTGTGGTGAAGACTCTCTGGGATGAAAATGGACAGTGCAATAGAACAAACAGAGATTTCATACATTGAAAAAAATAAAAGAAATTCAACAGGAGCATCCAGGAGGTCCTGGAAGATTTTCAACACTGAGGGGGAAACAGAGGCATACTTTTATTCAGGTTGCAGCTGGTACTGTTAGCTGTTAACTTTTTGTTGGTTACTGGGGAAGGAGATGGAGCATGTGTGGGAATGTCCAGAGTGCAGTGATTTAAATTCTTGATTCACTCATTCAAAAACAAATATGCTGTTATATTTTCAGTGTGTTCTAAATGTAAGAAATGTAATCACACATGAGATATGGACTGAAAAAGGCAATGTTCAACATTGCATATTGCTCAACATAGTTAACGCAACATTTTATCTTTTTCTTCTTTTGTCCTACTGCTTATCCTGTAAAGCGTTGCAGAGAGGAGTTAAATGTATTTTCTCGTCTTCTGCTGGTTGTGTAGAGTGTGTTAAATGTCACATTGTCACATAGTGTGGCTCAAAATAAATTCTGTCGTTATAGTTCTTATTGCTTAGACAACATGGTGCAGAGGGTGAGAAATCATGACCCATCCCAGGTTCAACTCATTCACAGATTGGTGATATTTAACAGAGATGTCAGGGTTACTGGCCTGGCTGAAGTTCAAAAGATCCCCAAGCTTCTTTGCAGATATGAAGCTCAACTATCAGTATTACAGTTGTTGGGCAGATGAAGAGGGCAATAAGAGTACTGCAACAAAATCCCCATGGAGATGGGGTAGTGGGTCTAGAACATCTCTACACCAGCCTGACTGATGTCAGCCCTTTTTAGCACTTGGATGGCCAGAACCTCAGAGCAGTTGTCTTCTTCTTTCATTTGCCTGAAATAAGTTGTCTATATCTGCAAATGTTGTCTCTTGTATAAATTTCAGTGGTTTTATTTTAGTTCATTCAGTGGTCTATGAAGTTTACTCCCTACTGTTATTCTTTCTGGCAAAAATGTTTGCTTTAATGAATCCTATTTGAGACAATCAGAGTATGTGTTCTGCTTTGGGGTGATGTTCCACATGTGCACATGCCTGATATGCCAGTTTTTAATTTTGTGTATACTTGGGTGTGAAGCACAGGATAATGTTAAATGTTGAATTCAAGCACAGGATAATGTTGAATGTTGAATTCAAGCACAGGATAATGTTGAATGTTGAATTCAAGCACAGGATAATGTTGATAATTCAAGCCAGTTGTTGAATTTTGTGTATACTTGGAATGTTGAAGCACAGGATAATGTTGAATTCAAGCACAGGATAATGTTGAATGTTGAATTCAAGCACAGGATAATGTTGAATGTTGAATTCAAGCACAGGATAATGTTGAATGTTGAATTCAAGCACAGGATAATGTTGAATGTTGAATTCAAGCACAGGATAATGACTCGTTCTGGTTTGTCCATAACATGGTAGTCACTTTCTGCCAAGGCTGCTGATTTTCTAACTGATTTAATGATGCAAGGCAGTAATCTCAACAGTTGGAACTCAAGACTTTTGGACGGTTTCCAATCATTTCATCAACAACACTATCCTTTGTGTGTTGTTAGACATCACACTGGGCTTGCATCTGACTCCTCCACTCTGCTCTATTGGATGCAGCTCTCTTGATTTTTTTATATGGAGTTCAGTCCAGCATTTTTAGCTTCTCGCAGTAATGTTCTTCTTTATGTTTCTCTTTGACACCCTCATTTTCTCAGTTTCCCATTTCAGTGCTTGTTTCCAACAATTTGCATGTGGAATAAATACAGGTACAAGTCTTCTTATATCTTCTGCTCCCCCTCCCCCCACAGAGCACAGGCCCTAAACTAACTCATGCTAATTGTTCTATATTTTATTATTCCATGCAGTTCACTACATGTCCTCCTAATGTAGTGTTCATTGTTTACTTCTACATTATGCGATATTTACTGCATGTCTGAGATGCTAGTTTCGTTTCAGCCCATTTCTGTTTAGTCTCCCACTATTTACTTCTCTTCCATGCAATGAGGGTTTAATCTGTCCCTATAAATGCCACATATATGCATTAACATAACTCAACTACTACAACACCAAATGAAATGACATTAATCTTCATCTTCTTTGCTCGCCCTGAAAAAGGCAGTTGACACATGTGTTGTGGTTTACAGCTAGGCTGCATTATCCAAGCCTTTCAACCCATAAAATCCAGTTTCAGCAAATCCTTAATTAGTGAACTTTCAAGAAATGCTGTCAAAGGCCATGGGTCCACCTTAACTGGTCATCTTTCAAGTCCAGTCATTCAAAAAAAAAAAATAGGGCCACTGAACACACATGGGGGTGGGGGGTCACTCAACAAAGACCTGAGTGATTATCACAGAACTTTGGTAACAACATTGTTCACACAAATGAAAGTAAGAAATTCACCATTAACACTTTTCAATTCCAAGGACTGATCCCATGTGTTCATACACAACGTAACTGATACTAACAGCTGGGGCCACTTTGAGCAAGTTGGGGGCTATACCCCGGTACAGTCCTCGGATACCATCACGTCTGAGTATGTGTTTGAAGATTCCAGTCATTGTGTCTTTAGAGAGAGATCCGGTCTGAGCTGGGGACAAGAAGGAAGCATTCACATACAAGTGTGTTAACTAAGGTAACTTGGACAACAAAAGAATCAAGTAGAAAAAAATTTGCATAAAACAGTTCTGCATAATGTAAGTATTGTTCAAAGGCATTTTATGAAAAATTTTTTTTTTAAATTGATGGTTGTAAATTTCTTTACTTCATCTTCTTCTTCTCTTTCACCTTGTACCTCATCGAAGTGTCGGGGAGGAGATGTAACGTTCACTGATGAGCTCGGTCAAGAGCACCATTAAGACTGAAGTTCATTTCTGTAAGGCTGTTCTTAATGCCATCACTCAATATTTTCTTAGGTCTTCCACTCGCCCTATACCCATTGTTTTAGTGTGGCTCGCTGTGGCAGATAGTATCAGGGCATTCTTGTTAGGTTCCAAACCACTTTATTTGTTGTTCTTTGATGACCTGTAAGACGCTTTATTCCTAGCATTCTTCTGATTTCGTATTCTGTGATTTTCTTGAAACTCCTGGAGCTCTTCTAAGGCATCTCTGTTGTCACAATTTTACGTTCATTGGAGGATGCAAGTGTCCACGTTTGGCACTGACATTTCTTTACTGTTGGATGACATATTTTAAAGGAAAGCAGAAAACCCTGGAATACAGTAGTAAACTATTTAATTACATACTGTATTTATGCATGCATAGGCCACAGTTTTTATAAGTGAAAACTTGTTGATCAAAAATAGGGGTGCAACTTATATTGGTGATAAAAACATGTCATGTGCCTACAAGTCACTTGTACAAAATATACTAACAAACTGGAGTTTCATCTGCTTTTTTTCAGCTGCCCCCATGCTATAGTTGTGTCTTCTGTAGCTTTAGATCATGTCTCTGAAATGCAGTTTCTCCTGGTCGGTGTCGGGAACTAGCTGTACCATTATTCTCCGCTGCAGAATGACGTGGTCATTTCATGCCATAAAGAACCTTGCCCAGCCGTAATCTGGCTTTAAATTCACTCTGAGGAATTCCCATGATGTCTGATAATTAACACGCTTCAAACTGTAACACATCCATGGACAGAGAAAACCTACTTTCCTGCATTTCCTTGACATAATCCAGCAGGCCTATTTCTACTTCCGGGTATTTCGCCTTCTTGCCATGAAAAGATTGTGACTTCTTAATGCATTTTCAAGAGTGTCTTTCATTCCAATCCATCTTTGCACATTTTTCTCATCCACATTCGAACTTCCTTCCAGCTGCTTGGTTAACATTTTCTTGTGCACAACGCACTACTTGCAACTTCAATTTACAACTGCAACTTGTTCTTGTGCAGCCCATCTTTCACTGATCAGAGCTGTGGCTCTCAACCTTCCTAATGCCACAACCCTTAACTACAGTTCCTCCTTTTGTGGCGACCCCTAACTATTTTCTTTGCTAATCAACCCTTAACTATAGTTCCTCCTTTTGTGGTGACCCCTAACTATTTTCTTTGCTAATCAACCCTTAACTACAGTTCCTCCTGTTGTGGTGACCCCTAACTATTTTCTTTGCTAATCAACCCTTAACTACAGTTCCTCCTTTTGTGGCGACCCCTAACTATTTTCTTTGCTAATAAACCCTTAACTACAGTTCCTCCTGTTGTGGCGACCCCCCAACCATATAACTATTTTCTTTGCTAATTCATAACTCCAACGAACATGTGTTTTTATATGGTCTTCGGCAACCCCTGTGAAAGGGGCATTCGATCCAAAAAAGGGTTGTGACCCACAGGCTGGGAACCGCTGGCTTAGAGGTACTTTGGTTTTTGAAACACTAATAAATTATGCATACTGTGTCACTAAAAACTACAGCATTTTCTTTTAAACAAAATAAACAAACTAAAACAAAAATACTTATCTCAACAATGTTTTTTTTTCTTTGTAAACAGCAGAACATCTGGCAGGAAGATGAGAGAAAGACCAAGAAAGACACGGATTAATAGTGTCACTGAAACCTGCAAAAATATGAACAAATCCACCACCTAAGCCCTCCGAGAAGTCCAAGACAAATACAGAAAACAACCTCTTTCAGCGAGACACAAAAAGAAGAAAGATATTTTGATGCGTCTCAAGTGCTGGCTAAAGAATTCAACAAAGTGAAGCAAGTAAAAGTGTCCCCAGACCACTCACTATGAAAACCGGTCAGACCAATATCACACTACATTTACAGATGATATAACAGAAGATCCAAGCGTATGTACAAACCTTGGGCTTGCATCCGTGTTCTGATCAGTGCCAGGGGATAGCTGGTCAGCTGACCACAAGTACTGCTGATGGTCCCACAGAGCAGCAGGGCCAAGATTCCAGGTTCCTTGTCCTTGTTTTTCTGGATGTAGAGCTTCTTTAGAGTCTGGTGGATTGAAGGACACATTTACAGACATAACAGTTTTGTTTGTTCTGAAATCTACAAATCCAATTCCTGTTTCAGCAATCACAAACAAAAACTTAATTACTATCATTTTTAAACAGTGCAAAAGGAACAAACCAGCTTGAAGAAAGATTTGACAGGAAAGCTGGTGTATGAAGACTATTCAATGATGACACATGTGTTTTAGGGATGTTAACTCAGCCATGAGTCGATGTACACTAGTTTTAACAGCAAGGCACCACTGTCGTTTATTTTGAGGCAACAGGTTGGAGTCCTGGTATCTTCTTCTTCATGTTCACCGGCTATAAACTTCTGTGGATAGTTCCTGTTGTTTCTACACCTCTGGAATATTGTCTTGTTCCAGAACTTGAGTTTTGCATGCACACCCATTTTACAGATCTGGCTAATTTAAATGCAGTATGTACGTTCCTCAACTCTCAGTCAAATGCATTCCAACTGTAAAGGAAGCTCTCACTTAGTCAACTTCTACAACATGCTTGTTTGAAGGATTGTAGTCTATCACCTCCCCCCCCCCCCACTAAATGGGGCTCTGGAACCAACATGAGAGTCCTGGCACAGTAAATCAAGCTTTTGATTTTTATATTTTCTAGTGCAGCGATTCCCAAACTGTGCGCCGCAGCACCCCACAAAGCCATGACCTCTCATAGGGGCGCCGCAAAATATCTGAAGATACGCGAACGCGAGTTACATTTTTTTTTATTCCTCACATACGAATAGTCATACTTTTACTTAGGTTAGGGTACCATGGAAAATTTTTAATTGAAAAAAGAAAGTCTCTCCTGAGAAGACTGAAACACTAAATGGTAGTTTTACAGTGCAATTAAGTCCATTTGCAAATACAGTCCTTTAGTCCAAATTCAGAATCTAAACAAACAGAGTAAAATATAAACCAAAAAAGAAACAACAATGACATTGTTACAAGTGACAAAAAAACATTAATAACATCTAAACATACAATCATCATCACCATCAAGTGCTTTGCCAACTGGCGGGGGTGATCATGCCTCTCCACAATCTGCCATCTTCAACAACTTGTGTGTCAACACCCCTTCACACCATGATAAAAGGCTGTCAAGAATCTGCTTATGTTGTCTTTCCCTGTCTCTATTTCCACATATCTTGCCAGTGGTCACAACATGGTCCAGTTTCCCCGCTTCTCATAACATGACCAAAGAATGATGACAGTCTCTTTCTGATGTTCATGACAAGTTGTCTTCAAGCCCTTCCCTCTTTAAAAACATCTGGGATTTTCTTTTTGGCTGTCCAAGAAATTCTAAGGATTTTTCTGTAAAACCACATATCCGAGGCCTCAAAAAATTGTGTGGCTTGTTTATTAATTGTCCAGGATTTACAGCCTCTTCTTCTTCTTCTTCACTTCCTCTTTTACCGCTGTGGGTGTTGAGGGAGATATAAGGTTCTGTCTCTAGCTCTTCTGGCCGCCTCGACCATAGGCACATCGTGCTGTTGTAGAGTTTCTCTGATGTTATCCTTTCATCTTGTTCTTGGTCTACCTCGTGCTATACGTCCTTCTTCTATTTCAATGCATGCTTTGTATGGTATGGTGTCACAAGGCATTCTCTCTAAGTGGGCAAACCATTTCACCTGCTGTCTTCGTATGTAATTTAAAATTGGTTCTGTGCCGACTTTTTCTCTTATGATCTCATTCCTGATCTTATCTCTTATGGTCACTCCTACAGCCCTTCTCAGACATCTCATCTCCATGGTTTCTAATTTTCTTTTATGGTTTGTTGTGAGTGACCATGTCTGGCACTGGTAGCACAGAGTTGGAATAAATATGCTTTGAATAAGATGTCTCTTTGTGCTGATTGGGATTGTCTTATGCTGTAAGAGGGGGGCTAGCTGTCCCAATACTTGGTTTGCTTTACTGCATCTAATGTTAATTTCTTTATCCAATTTCCCATCTTCGTTAAATGTAGTTCCCAGATATTTAAACCCAGATGCCTCTTTAATGCCTTTGCAATCTATTGCTATGTTTAGATCTGTCTTCTTTTTTCCTATTGACATTACTTCTGTCTTTTCAGTGTTGATTCTCATATTATTTGTTTTACATTCTTCATTCATGGATGTTAGATGTTGTTGCAATTTTATGGCTGTATCTGCTATCAAGGCCTGGTCATCTGCAAAAAGTAATTTGTTGATCTTACTAACATTTTCATTCATGGGCTTAGCATTCTTGCATATACTGTCGATGTAGGTGATAAACAGCAGTGGTAATAAGACACACCCCTGTCTTACTCCAGATGTTACTGTGAATGGATGAGATGTTCCCTGATTTATTCTAACTACACTTCTACAATCCCTGTATAAACTTTTGCACACTTTGATGAGGTGTTCGCTTACTCCATATCTTGCCATTACTTTCCATAATAATTGTCTGTCGACTCTGTCAAATGCCTTCTCCTGGTCTACGAATGCAACAAATAAGTTCTTATTGTATTCAATATTCTTTTCTATTAACTGTGAAGATTGCATCTGTGCAGTTTCTATTTTTCCTAAATCCCATCTGTTCTTCTGCCAGCTGTGGTTCTATCACTGGTCTCAGTCTTGTTTCTGTTATCTTTGCATACATTTTGCCAACATGGCTTAAAAGAGAGATGCCTCGGTATTAACCGCATTCTCGTTTGCTTCCTTTATTCTTCCACAATGGTATAACTATTGCATGTTGCCAATCAATAGGGGCAGTTTGTTATACCCATGCTGCATTTAATATTCTGTGAAGCCATCTGATGCTGCTTTCACCTGCTGTTTGAATTATTTCTGTTGGTAATCTATCAGCTCCTGGTGCTTTATATTCGGGAGACTGCTTAATGACTTTTTCTATTTCATCCATTAGTATGTGTGGTTCTAACACTGTTGCTCTGTGCTCTTCTTCAGTTGTTCTTTCCTGATGATATCCTAGAGGATTAAAGAGCTCATTGAAGTATTCCCTCCATCTTTCTTCTATCTCGGGTGGATCTATCAATGGCCTTTCTGTCTTATCATTAATTATTTCAGTGGGGTTGTAGCTCTTATCTCTTTTCCACATATTTTTAACTACTTTGAAAAATTTTCTGCTGGCTGTTTTCTCATTTTCTGCGAATGACTCACCGAAACGTTCCCAGGATGCTTGTTTTGCTTTCTTGACACTCCTGTTGGTTTCTCTCCTTTGCAATCTATAGTTTATTTTTCAGCTTTATTTTATTTTACAGTGTAATTTACAGCCTCAACTACTGATATGCTGAATTTATAACCTGAGTATTGTATTGAAAAAGATACCTTGCTATTCCTTCTATTCTGTGTATTGATAAATTAACGATGAAAGTTTTTACATTCCTGTTTCTTTCAGGTGCATCTATTTTTCTTCCTAAGTACTTATTTATGAGGAGCAGCAGGCCGAACGGCTGGAACGCTGGGCTCTCAAGTGGAAGACCTGAGTTTGAATCCTCGGTAAGGCTGGGGATTTTTTCTGCCAGAGACACACAAAAAAAATTCCTCACCTGCACAGTCATGGCGACAGCACTAGTCATGCGACCGTAAATCCTCAGGCTCAAAGACATCCCTGCCTACACCGCATAAGTGGTAATAAAGGTAGTTACTGGCAGTTTTTTTAGGGGTAGTACCTATATATAAAATATCTAAAATTGTTCTGTAAATTCTACTTCTCCTCTTCCTCCTTCTTTATTTCCCATTCTTTTACTTCTTCTTTGTCTACTTCTTAGTATTATTATATAGTCATAAAGAGGGAAAAACAAAGCAATACCTAACCTCATAACTGGCCAGATCAATGCCAGCGTAGGGTATAATCCCTAACAAATTGGGTACATAGCCTCTGAAGAAGCTACCCCATCCCTCCAGCCTGGCAATTTTCATGGCACAGTCAACAATGCCAGCATACTGACCCGTTCTTCTGAGAGCTAATCTGGTTTTCAATACCTGAAGAAATACAAGGGACACAAACATTGGCATATATCATTAATTAGTCACATAAACACACTAAGAAAACCTGACAACACGATAAACTGTAATTTTATTGCACTGGAACCCCCAGAGTCAATAGAATAAAGGACCCTCTTCCAAGTCTTTAGACATATTGGGTATACAGTGCTAGACCAATATTTTGCAGACCAGCGGGCCCTCTTCAAATATGGAAATGAGTCCTGTTTTATATGTTGTGTGCACCAACAAAAGCGGGTAGTCCTCATTTCCCAGGCAGACACCAGCAATGGTTAAAACAGTGGTATAGTGTAATAAACAGTATTAATATAACTACTTCTGCCATTTTTCCTTAAAAGCGCTGGTTTCCAGTTGGTGGTTTGAGGAACTTCTTTTATTACTTCTTAAGAGTTCTCCAGCTGTAAACTCTGGCTGAAAATTCTGGTTGTTCATCCACTTCTGGACCTTTGTCTTGTTTTAGAGTTTTGTATGCACATCCATTTTATACATCTGGTTTATTTGTAAACAGACTTTTGGTTCCTTGCCTCACAACTGGATGCACTCTGACTTTGAAGAAAACATCCCCATTAGTCAGTTTTTACGACATGGGCCCCCGGATCCCACACTGGGAACATAGGCTACTCTACTTTCCCATTCTACAGACAACATCAAATATTACCAATCCCCCCGATGGGTCTTCATCTTTGTGTGGCAGAGGGACCTGTGAGTTCCGATGACCCAAAGAGCTATGTGATAGTAGCTTTGTTACTGCTAGGGTATCCTTTGTGGGATAGGTCAAGGGATAGCAGTGAGACAAAGAAAGGCACAATCCTCCCTCCTTGAAGGCAGACTTGGGGCATTCAAAAGCTAGAGAAAGCAAACTAAAACATGTCATACTGAAAGGCACAGAGTCGCAGGCTTGACAAAACAGTGCTTTTTGATTAGGTAATTTCCCATGTGGGTCCCAGGCTCAATTTTAGGGGAAAATAACAAAATCACACCCCCCCCCCCCCTCCATCCCCTTTTCCAATTCCAAACATACACTAAGAGTCGCCTCATAGGTGATCTGTTAAACAAATGCAAGTTCTAGAACAAGACTAGAATCCAGAAATGTAGAATAATCAGAACTTTCAGCCGGAGTTTACAGCTGGTGAATACAAAGAAGAAGAAAAGAATAAGGTAAGAAACACTGACGCAGTAAATAAGTGAAAGATACTTTTCACTCCTCTGACACTGCACACAGTGCTAGATCTATATTTTTAGACCAATCATCACTCAAAGGGTAATGTGGGCAACATCCTGCCAGCTGCCTTTACTTTCCAGGACATTACCTAGTATCTCTTTTAGACTGGGTCGACCTGGGAACCCCATTCAATTTTTTTTTGGGTCGACCTGGATGTCACAGTTAATTTTTTTAACAAAAGCCCACCCAAAACACTGATACAACCACACAGACATAATTTGCATATGTGCATGTCACCATGATGTTGAAACAAATAAATAAGAAGTAAATCATTCTGCAAGTTTACCTCCATGGGGTAGATAATGGTCTGCGAGATGGCACCAGCAATCGACCCTGACAACAACCTTTCTGCAACCCCCAACTCTCTTGCTGTGTCCCCTCTGAAAAGAATTTTTATCTGCAACCAATGAAACAAGATTGCTGTACTTAATCCATTTTAATTATTATTTCTAAAATTTAATCTACTTAGCCCAAGATCCTAGGACATACAATGGTAAAGCTACACCTTATTCAATACTGTGAAACCAGTATCAGAACATTTCTAGTGCTTTAAGAGCAATTTAATAGTGATAATCTTCTTTTGCATCTGTAAAGACAAAGTAGAGTTTGTGTGGCTTCTAGAAAATTCCAGTTCTAGCAAATCTACTGGAAGAGTCAAGATGAGAAATAGCACTGATGGTTAGATAGCTAAATAGAAACACAGATGCTAGGGAGAGCGGACCAGGCAAACATACTTGTCAAAATCAACAGCAGATGTCAAATGCCTACTATTACAAAGCAAACTATTTGTTTTTCATCATCATCAAGTGCCTTGCCAGCTGGCATAGGCGTTCATTCATCTCCATACATATCTCAGTCTCTGGTGTTCTGGATCAATCGGACAGATGATATTCCTTCATGCCACAGTCTTCAGCCAACCACCATCATTTCTCTTGGTCTGCCTCTTCTACCAGTGATCTTTTTAGTCATCACAATATTTTCCAGTGCTCCTTTTCTGTTTTTTTGGGGCATGATTATTTAATGGTCAGCGAGGCTCTGTAGCTAAGTGAAATAGTTCTGTAACCCATTCATTGATGTACCCATGAGGGTTTGAAGAGAAAAAAAAAGTTATCCATGATGCTTTCAGAGAGTTTATGACTATCGAAACAAAAGAAAGTGGTATGTTCTTGGAGCTTTCAGAGAGTGGTATGACTATCGCATTGTGGAACAGATTAAGGCTTTCAGACAACGGTATGACAGTCCCAATGTGGAATGAACTGGGGTTTCAGACAGCAGTATGACAATCGCACTGTGGAATAGATTGGGGCTTTCAGACAGTGGTATGACAGTCACACTGTGGAATAGATTGAGGCTTTCAGACAGTGGTATGACAGTCGCACTGTGAAATAGATTGGAGCTTTACGATGTAATATTTTCAAAGACAGCAGTAGAAGCACTGCGGCCAACATCCAAAAGATGGCACACAATTTTTATAAAAAAAACCTGATTTGACTTGAAAGTCTGTAGGCTTAAAAAAAACTATTGATGACTCAGATGCGAAAGAACTGTCAATAGACTGTTGAACCCTATAGTACTCTTGTGCACAATCTTAACTACTCCCTTCGAAAAATTTTGAATGTCAAAATTATGATACAACTATGTTCCTTTTGGTCTTTCTATATCCTCTTCATGTCGCGGTTGACACATAAGGTATTCACAAGTGATCTCCATTGCTGCCGGTCTGCTGCTTTTCTGCCCATTTATCCCATGTCAGTTTACATTCCTTCATTTCCCATTCTATTGTCCTTCTCCTGGTTTCCTTAGGTCGTCCACATCTCCTTTTCCCATGTTTCAGTAGCTGTTTTTTTTTTTTATAAATCGAGCAGTAACAAAGGCAGGAGCCCAGTCTGTTGATAGGTTACACCAAGAGCCAAGAAAGGTGCTTCAAGTTTTGAACAATCTATGTCCCTGAAACTACAGAAGACAAAACAAGATAAACTGCAGCTCAAGGCTCCAGACATTAGAGGCTCTAGGACTGTACAAACCTGTTCATAGGTCATAAACTTAACAGCTGTCTCAGGAGCAATCTTGATGACATTTACGCCATTTCCCCTCCACAATGACCTGGATCCTCCTTCCTCCAGCATCTGTCTCAATCCTGTTCTAACAGTCAGGTTATTTTTACTGGATGCATGAACCTGTTTGATAAAACAAAGAAATAAATAAAGACTTAAATACAGCAAAAACAAGCTTCTTGAATGTATTCAACAACTCACAATATCATTTGTAAACTGTGTGGATTCTAGAGCCCTGTTGTGGGGGGAAAAGAGTAAACACACTGCCTCCCCAACAAGCATGTGGTAAGAGTCTACTAATTGGGGGCATCCTTCAAAGTTGGACAGCATCTGTGTGAGAGCTAAGAAACCAACAGTCTGCATAAAAATAAGCCAGATGTGTAAAAAAAGATATGCATACAAAAACTCAGGTTCTGGAACAAGATTAAATTCCAGTTTAAACCAGAACATTCCACCAAAGCTTACAGCTAGTAAACTTGATGAAGAAAAAGCAGATCTGTCCACTTCAAAATTATGTTTTGCAATCATAATGGAATTACAGAGAAATTAACAGACTGATGGATCGAGGGACTCAAACACAGCCAGCCTGACACTTCACAACATCACAGCATACCAAGCAACAGAAAGCTCTCTGGCTCAATTATATATTGTCTGGCAAACTTAGATAACCAGGGGATCTGGCCGACGCTCAACACTCAGGGGGAAGGATGAGACGGATATACAATCAGAGGGTTACTGCTGCCATCGGAATTATAACACTTCAATTGCTGCTGAAGATGTGGACGGAGCACTTTTGGGAGTGTCCAGAGTGATGTGATGTCAATTCTTAATTCAACAGCCATAACTACCAATACAAAGCAAATAACGGGCTCTCATGTGGGAGGCCTGGGTTTGACCCCCGATAAGGTAATGAAAATTTGCTGTCAGGGGTAGAATTAAACATCCTTACCTGCACAGTCCATGGTGACAGCACTAGCCAGGCGCCCTAAATTCCTAGGCTGATGACCCCCTGTCTACACCGCCCTAGAAAGGTGGTAAAACAGACAGCAGTGGCAGACTGACAAAGCAGAGATTTAAAAAAAAAAAAGATGTAGAAGAAAGAAAACAACGAGGACAATAATATTTATCGTCTTTAAGTGTTTTGCCGACTGGCATGAAGATTCATGTTTTGTGTGTGGTGTATTGAAATTTTTTTTTTAAATTAAATTTCTCGGTATTCAAAAGTATGTATTAATTTATGTGCAGACATCTTTACTTTACATTTTGTTTAGACAATAAAGATGAAATAGAAAATGACTGCAGATAGGTCAGAGGCTCAGCATTTGAGAAGAGACATGTCAATTACATAAGATGATGACTGACTGACTTTCTACCCCACCAGGACATCACACAAGTGATAAACACCCGATGACACTATGTGCCACCATGTGGGTGAGGATCACTGTGGAGAGGTCCCAGAAAACGTGTTCAGCCAATTGGACATAAATTTATGGCCTGGCTATTTTGCGGCCCCTGGCAAGAGCCAGGGTGGGGCTTTAAATAACGAAAACATTTGTCCTAAAAAAGACGGCAAATTAAGCAATGATGTGATGACAACTGCGCTAAAATCCTACGCATTTGTTGTGGAAGAGCTTTCTCAGCACTGATTATTCTTGACAGCCACACTCAGCTTTGTAAGTGATTCCCATTCTGTTTATTGTACAATGCAATACAGTCAACTGGAAAGACGGAATAGTACCATGTGTTTGTGTGTGTGTGTGTGTGTGTGTGTGTGTGTGTATACCTGCAGAAACACCTTGATCCTGTCCAATGGAGCTGTGCATGTTCTCGATACGGCTCCTGCTGCTCCGCCAGCCACCAGATGGCGCCACCACATGCCCGTCTTGAACTCAACTTCTGTGAAGTCGTCTGGTACTAGGCCATTTTCACCTACATCAATGATCTGCAATGGAAAACATAATTTTTCATAGTTTGAAACAATGAGATATAGTTGATCAGAAAATATCTCAGCATAGGTGATATTTAATTATTCTTTTGTGTGTGTGCAGAAATAGCTTAATAAAGTTTTCTATGTTATCAAGGTTCAACATTCCTTTATCCTAGTGACCTAAAGAAGAAAAAAAACCAAGCCAATAAACCCACGTTTTGATTTAAACAAAAAAAGAAAAAAAATCTTTAAAATTCCAGCACATTTTAAAAATAAGTTCTAAAATAATAAGGGGCCTAATAATTTAACATGAATGTAGCAGAAATTAACCAGGTTACATCTCTCATCTCATCTCAGTAATCTTGTATCTTGCAATGTAGAGATGAAGTATAATTTATGGGAAAGTGCCCGTTTGTGGGCGTTCGTAAATGATTCCCAGGGACTCTATAATAACAATTACCTCTATCTGTTGATTGCATAATCGGCCTCTTCTTCCCTTCTCGCATAATCTATACATCACTGCATGCTGTGGTATACTGTTTGCTGGCATCTGTGTTATATGGCCAAACCATTTCACTTGTTGCTTTCTAACAGAATCCAGAGCTGCCACCACCCCCATTTTCATTCAGCTTTCACCATTTCTGATCTAATATCTTCTTGTTATATTAAGAGCCGTTTGCATGAATATCATTTCAATTTATGTCTATTTTTTTCTCTACATTTTTTGCCACAGTCCATGTCTGGCTGGACTTTCTTTTTTCTTCTTTGTGTTCGGTTTTCATTGCTCATATCAGACCATCAGGTGGGTTGCCTCTATGAACTGGCATGTCAAGGAAAGAATTCAGCATGCAACATTAGCAATTCTAAATAAGCTAATGAAAAGCAATGGGAGGAGAAGATTTTGACCTTAAAAAAAAGGTGAAAGGAAGGAGGACAGAAACAGAAATTATTATCTGTGTACCATCAAAACTCAAACATAATCTACCTACCTCTTCAGAGATCAGCCCCAAGTTTTTGTCAAAATGTTTGTGTCTCTGCTCAGGGTCGGACACATCCATGAAGTTATGGTCACCAAACATTTGAAGTGGGTTACACTGAAAAGACTAAGCACCATGAGTTGATACCACCCAGCAAGGGAACCGTCTTGCTTTTGTTTTCAAGAATAATTTCAAACAAATGTGAATGAAAGGATCTTATGAATACAAAGGCATTACTGAATTCTAAAACAGCGGCTGAGCAGACCAGTCTTGTTTGATTTGATCTGAGACTATCTCTTTCAGTTCCAGTCTGTACATATTTTCTCTTTCTAATCTGATGAGTTCTATTTTTAAAGCAACCAATCTTTGGTCTTTAAAATTTAAAATAGTAACCAATCAATTTATTGTGAGCTGCTTGGTTCAGGAAGAAATAAACAATCATCCTCATCAATTTCCACTTTTGTCATAAAGCATCATGGGAAGGAACATTTTGTGATCCACTGCTTAATGGATAGCAATGGCTTCTGTAATTAAACATCTTTACCAGAGTAACATACATGTGGCTTCTGAAATATTACAGGGTATGATGTTATCACTCAATATAAATGGATATTAAATATAAGTAATCAATAAATTTCCTGATGTATTTAATGCCATGTTATTATGTAAAACAAACTTGAAGACTTGAGATCAAAACTTACAAGTAATTTATGCAGGAATCCCTCTTGGAATGTTTAGATCAGGGCAGCAAGTTTACCACCATCTTCTATAGTGTTCACAACACGTATCACAGTGTATTTATACATATACAGTTGTAACCACATATATCAAAATGAAGAGATGCTGTGTCTGTTTGATAATTACTTGTGCGAAGTTTTTCCACTAAAGTGTGTAGTTGGTGCTTTCTGTATAAGCACATGGTCATAAAGTGAACTGAGGGAGCACATACACAGCCATACAGACTGACTTCAGTCCCAGTGTCTTTGGCAGGAAAATCTGTTGCATGGAGTAATCATTGACTGATCTTGCATCTGTGGTACCTTTGGACCTGATATAGAAAAACAAAAGATATTCAGTATAACAGAAACAAAGCTGTACAAACATACTGTGACCCCTGAGAAAAAATAAGACCTACCCCAGCAAAATTTTTCAGGATAATTTTAACATAAGCCCTTGCACACTTTTTCAGGATAACTTTAACACAAGGCCAATCCCAAAAATAAGCCCTAGCACAATTTTACAGGATAATTTTAAAATTAGCCCTATCTAAAAAAAATAAATAAGCCCTAGCACAATTTTTCAGGGTAATTTTAAAATTAGCCCTACCCCAAAAATATGCATCAGTTAAGATCGTCAGCTAGAATAAGACTTATTGCTGAATGGCTAGTCAAATTACAGACGCCCCTGGTACCAATGATTCTACAGGAAATGCAATCATAAGAAACTCAGGCCCATATTTAGGATTTGGAAAGTTATAATGATGTTCCAGAAAAAGATGACATGACTGTATGTAAATAAATGTAGATTTTCGGTTTCTTGAAAAAAACTGACAACCCCTGACATCAAGAAGGGAATGAGAATGTAGGAAGAAATGAACGCAGAAAGGATGAGAGCTGAGCGTCTGGGAAGAAACAGACTAAACACAAATGTTGATAACAATGGTACTGAAATCCCATGCTGTAATTGTGGAAGACCTTTCTTAACGTGGGCAGGTCTTGCTAGTCACACTCGCCGTCGCCATGTGCTGTGAATCTGATGCCTGCTCAAAGCACAATACAAAAAAAGTAAAAGTGCCAATCGAATCGTCTTATTTTTGGGAGAATATGGTAATAACATTTTTGACAACAATGCCTCTACTGTTATTCCTGCAAAATGAAAGCTTTCAATGCTATGTTCCTTTATGATCAACTATTTCCAAGCTGTAATATTTCGGAAGTTATCTCTTTTCAAGCCATAATGTTTTTGTATCATTAACTATTCGGTATTAGAGCGTTCCTTCATAATTACTCTCTTAGTGCTATAATATACGAAGACAGCAAGTGAAATGGTTTTCCCACTTAGAGAGAATGCCTTGTGACACCATACCATACAAAGCATACATGGAAAGAGAAGAAGGACGTAGAGCACGAGGTAGATCAAGAACAAGATGGAAGGATAACATCAGAGAAACTCTACAACAGCATGATGTGCCTATGGTCGAGGCGGCCAGAAAAGCTAGAAACAGAACCTTATATCTCCCTTGACATCCACAGTGGTAAAAGAGGAAGTGAAGAAGAAGAAGAAGAAGTGCTATAATGTCACTGAATAATTTACTCTTTTATACTCTTTTCGAATCATTAATCTTTTTTTCAGTGCTTGAAATCTCCTGTATCGTTACCTATTCTGTATTAGCATATTCCTTTATCATTACTCTCTTTGAGCTAGAATGTTACTGAATAACTGATTTTTTATAGTGCTATTCTGTTTCTCCTCATTGCATTTTTTCTTGCTATAATTTTCCTGTAATTATATCTTTCAGAGCTAGAATATTCATAATTCATTGATTCTTTCACTGTAAAAATGTTCCAACACTACTTATGCCATCAAAAATGGTATTTAGGATTCGTTGGTGGATTGTGTTCAATGAGTGACCACGATTCAACACTCAGGGAAAAGGCAAGATGGACATACAATCAGACTGTTACTGCTACCATTAGTTAACAACACAGCACTGGCTGCCAAAGATGGAGATACTGTGCTTATGGGAATGTCTCAAGTGCTGTGATGCTTGTTTTTTTTTTTTTAAACTCAAACTCAACTTATTATATATATAATAAACAAACAGACAATGTATTGATCGGCACTCATAGAAAGAAATAGAAAGATAGGACATAAACACAATTTAACATGCAGATTTTTACAGTGTTCAAGTCTGGCAGTGGTAGCATAGTTTTGGTATGACAATGTTATTTATAATCTGTTGCTCTGCTGACATGGCTATGTCTTGGTTTTTTTTTTAGTAAAGGTTTCTATATAAGTGCACCTGCCTTTAGGCCTCTGGGGGTCTTTATAGTGAAGTGGTAAAGCCATTGGCCTCACGCTCTAAAGGTCATGGGTTCATTTCACAGCAGCGGCGGTCAGTTTATAAAAGTGCCATTTTTACAGAGATCATCGCTAGAGTTGAAGGTCACGCTGTGTGTGTCGCTCTTGGCAGCTAGCTATCTGTTCTGCAGAGAGAGACTGAGCCATTTGGGATAAAACCCAGTGCAATGAAGTCAATCCTCTCACATTTACCTTTTGACCTCTTTAATTTACTTCACTGTCTATTCTGCATCTCCTTGAACACACTTCCTAAATACTGACGTTCTTTTAATTTCTTTCAACTCTTTCAGTACCAAGGAACGCATCGTACCCTCAGAAGTTCCTACCTACAAGCCCAATTAACGAACGATGTGCCAATTTTATGTCTCTCTCTCTCTCTACTACCCCTTGGGCCTCTGATGCTAAACCCTCTGGGACTCGAAGAGTTGCGTTATATGATAGAACTCCATACACAACAGCAGTTAATTTGATTCATGCAATTCTGTTATTCTACATGTTTACTAAACAACTTTCAAATTTACTGTCACTTTGAAGATTATAAAAAAGTAGTTGAAATAACTCACTAGAAAACAGATGAAAAATCAGCCAACAGGATATTTGAAATGTAAACTCTCTTCCTTTAATGAATGGCAACATGATGATGATGACAGGATATACATGTGGTCAGAAACCTTACCGTCTTAAATATATTTCAACATCTTTTTCTCTCATGATAATCTTATAATCATATCCACCTGTTTCAACTTAATCTTCACTATCTTCTGATTCAATTTATTGCAAACACTGAAAGTACAATTTATAGTGAACTTTGGAGCAAAGTAAACTGAACTTTGGACTCTTACCTATATGTGAGAATGATAACAACATTGTGTTAACCAATTAACCAATATAATAGTTCAACAAATATCTAGTGAAAAAAAGGAACAGGATAAAAAAAAAAGGGGGGGGGGAAGGAAAGGGGAAGTAAGACAAGGTTGAATTTAAGCAAAAATACATACACACACAAGCTCCATCTATTTAAATAAAAGAGGTCAGCTAAGATGATAGTGCTCTATTATGGATATCTTTTTTTTCTTATATAGTGAATTTATGAAATCAAAACTTATCAAGAATGAATATATATATATATAAAGTAAAGAAGCCTTTTCCACGCACAAAGGTGCACTGGGTATTGTTTTGCTCTAGACCTATATTTTATAAACGATCAGCACTCGTGAATGATATGGTGGACATCATGCCAGTCACTTCTACTTCCCAGAATTTGACCTGGCACCCATTTTTGGTTGGGTTGACCTGAAGTTTTTTTTAAAAATCCAGCTTGATGCGGATTTGAACCCACTACCTCTGGGCCTGAGGTCAGCATCTAGCGACTACTCCACTGCAGCTCCAGAGAGAGAAAGAGAAAAAGAGAGAGAAAGATGAGTCATTAAAAATAATAGTAAAGAGACGTGGCTGAAGAAACTTAAGATAAATTTCATGGTTTTATCCAAACAAGAATTTTCAGAGGTGTCGATAAATTAATCAGAATAATACTGAAGCCAAAATAAAAGTAACTATCTTGTCAATGTTCGGGGGGGGGGGGGGGGGGGGGGGGGGGGTTCCATTGTAGGATGGCGGGGGAGGGGGGAGCAGCAGACTCACTGTCCCCAGACAAGCATGTTGTTAAAGTCAACTAACTAGGGCTGCTTCCTTCCAAGTTGGAGTGCGTCTGCCTGAGAGACGAAGAACCAACAGTGTGCATACAAATATGCCAGATTTGTCAAATGGATGCGCATGGAAAACTTAAGTTATGGAACAAAACTAAAGTCCAGAAGTGGATGAATAATAAGAACTTTCCACTGTAGTCTACAGCCGGAGAACGCCAAGAAGAAGAAAACAAAATGGGATAAACAAAATCAAGATGAAAAAAGACAACAGGAAGATAACAAGCAGAATCTCCCTGTGTGGGTTCTGAAGCCCCACTCTGGAGGAAAAGAGAACAGACCCACTGCCTCCCTATCAAGCATGTGACACAAGGGACC